CCCGGTCGCACTACAGATCCTAACCCGAACGGGCAAGATTCCTCCCCGTAGATACGGATTCGGGCGCTAGTGTCAGAATAGTAGGATCTCATTAAGTTGATAAGTTTGACTGGGACACCATCGGCCAGAACTATGTTTCAGAGGGATTCGTGATCCATAGAGTCGAATACCGCACGAAAATCGATGAAGCAGATTGTTGAAACCTGTGGCGATGTTCCAAGAGTAGACGTAGAGTGAATGGTTGATAGACGCAGCCCATAACGGGGCGGAATCTCTTCTGGTAAGTTAGAGTGCGTGCGTGCCTTGCTGCAGTAAAGCAGTTCAGCAAAAGTTGTGCAAAAACCTTGGCCGCCACGTCAAGTAAATTGATGCCTCTGTAGTTTTCGCACACCCTTGTCACCCTTTTTAGGGAAAGGTGGTAAAATCAGTGTGGTTCAGTCAGTTTGGTAAATTTCGGTCACAGGTGACTGAATTCCACTGGTTTCATAACTATTCATCCCCGCTTAGAATCGCGATGCGTTCCATAGTACAGTGATTAATTAATTGTCCTTTTTTCATACATTTTTCTTACACCACCTTAAAACACAGCATTTTTGGTAGGTCAGTGAATGAGCTATATGATTTCGGACACATTTTAATTTTTGAACTCAATCAAACTGAGTGGGTGGGATGTTCACAAACCATAAAGATGATACAAAATAATCACTCTCCACTAACAGGTGTGTAGTAATAAAAAGGGGATAATTAGATATAGACGTTGCACTCTGTTTTAACATAAGCATACGTCTTCAAACCATTCTATTCACCATAGACGTAAGCAAAGTTTTCTCTGTAAGCATGAAATTAAACTCCTTTGAATTCCTTAAATGTCTGAAACTGACACCCGCGTTTATATTTTCTCCTTGTCATATGACTCCCCAACGTTCCCCATGGATTCTAAATTTGAACTGTGTACAGATCAATACAGCAACTTGATAGGTCAACAGAAAGTCAGTATCTTGTTGAACAAAACATGTATTCTCGGGTGTTATCCTTTTGAAAAACATAGGATTCCGTAAGATTTTCTGAAAAAAGGTAGTAAGAAGTTTTGAAACGTTTTTGTGTAAGACAGAATAACTCCATACTTCCTTGCAGCGAGAACGCAATCTATGCCCAAAGCGAACTACCGTCAGAAACCCCAGAACTGAGACAGTTCGGTTCCTTTCTCAGGTTACGCAGTAGTAAGAAAAGTATCAGACTTACCGGCTAAAACAGTCAAGGTGGTCTAATTTGTGCTACAGACTATTTGAATTGCGGTTGTTTTACACTGGGAATCAACTGTTTCGCATTCCTCCCGAATGATTTGCTTCCGTTTTTACTCGAAAGTAAAACAAAAACCCGAAATTCTTTCATATTTGTGTGTGCCGCACCTTCAGTGATTAGACTACGAAATGTGAGCCGGATAACCAGCCATGTGACAAAAAAGTGTAATTTATCATTCAGTGCACAGATGGAATAACCTCATTGGGGTATGACAAAATATTGCTTAGATTTCGGGAAGTAGTATCCTAAACCCTAAAACCAGGAGCTTAATCGTAGAGTACGAAGTCATCCCCCACTCCCACACACACCTGATCATTGTGCGCATTTTCGTAGTAAATCCAGGAAGGGAAATCAAAATATGTTTACAATTCACTTTCGGTGTTCTGGCGGTGGACTAAGAAAGTACGAGTGGGGAGCATAGATTAAAGATATTAAACTGGCACTTGAAGGCTTATACTCGCGGAGCCTGCTGCATCTGAACGAAGGACTACGATCAAGAATAACTCTTCGAGCTAATGACCAACCGAAGTGGACTGTTATGATGAGATGAATAAAGTGTCAGTTGAGCGGAAAGGGCAATGTCAACTTTGTTCACTGAGCTGTCAGAGCACCTGATCACATACCTTGCATGAGCACAAGAAAAATTATTACGCCAAAAGCCAGCCAGAAACCGACGGATTTCGTGTAAGCCCAGTAAACACTAGATTCGATAGATCCGAACGCCAATCTTTCCCAGTCTTCCGCTTCCCGATTTTCCGTGCAGTCAGATAGAGTTGTGTCTGGTTGAACACTGTCAGCCGGTTTGTCTGGGAATAACAGAACCGCGTCTGGATCTTTCGGTTCGGTCGGAGAATCAGTCGGTTCATTCGAAGGACACCACTCGTTCATGATGCGGCCATTTTGCAATTCGACTATCATATCCGCCCGGGCGGTAGACGATTGATCCTGTCTCCGGGGTGGGTAGAAAGGTCAGAATGTTCAAAGTCGGTCACACAAAATAAAAGGTTATTACGNNNTTCAATAACACCTTGGTCTACCTGATTCACTCCGATGCTATAATTTACCAAACGCGGTCAACTTAACCGTTATCGACGTCTCGTTTGCATGATATGCGCATATAAACCTTCCTCCGTCGGACATCGGAACAACACTTCGATCGGTAAACATAAATAACACTAGCCGTAAATAGAATCCCGTTTAAGTGCTAGCACACACATACAGCTCGGTGNGCTCGGTGTAAACGAGCCACAAGTGAAGACGCAACATGAAAACATCACCAATTCGTCATTAATCAAACGAATCACGAAGAGGCGAAGTGTGATAAACAAGACCGCTTGATTATTAATTGTTCGTAAGTGGAGTGTTTGGGAATGATGGTTTAAATAGAACGAAAGTGGTACCCTGTGTAAAGCGCAATGCTGGAATCGGACACCGATTTTTCACTGTGCCACAAAGTTTGTGAACTTTTCGCACAAACACAATTTGATATCTAGGCATTCGTTAGAACGGTGGCGGTATACACACCATTTCGTAAATGAACAGACTAACATTGAGGATGAGGTTGAATGATCGAATCCGGTGCAAACCTGATGGTGAACAGTACCATTTAGAACCGGTAACGTTTATTCACCGGAACGAATGGGATTCACTACGAATGAGTCTGTTCCAACATCCACACAATAAGTGAAGATCATCACATCAGAGGCAATGAACTGTTTACCTTCGTTTCAAGCCATGCAGACTGGTGAGTCGTAATAAGTCGGGTTTTGTTGGCTAGCAGACCAAGTAGGCAGTGTTCACGCACATGCTCACCCACATGCACATCTAATGCAGCCAACGGATCGTCCAACAGGTACACATCCGCGTCTTGGTAGACTGCACGAGCCAGGGCAATGCGGGCACGCTGCCCACCACTCAAACGGCTGCCCCCAGCCTCACCGACATCTGTACCCAGACCGTGTGGAAAGGTGGCCAAATCGGGACCGAGTGCGCATGCCTGCACCACCTGTGCGAGCCGTACGGGATCAACTGGAAGACCGAATACAATGTTGTCTTGAACCGTGCCCGAACATATCCACGGTGTTTGGCTGACATAGGCATATCGCGGGCGAGAGCCATGGCTGATTTGACCAGAGGTTGATGTAGATTGTAGTTCACCGAGAATGGCCAACAGAAGAGCAGACTTTCCTGACCCAACCGGGCCTGTGACAGCTACAAGCTGGCCCTGGGAGAAAAGTGAGGAATTAAATATAAAATAATGATTAAAGTCTGGTAGGATAAGATCAGTTTTCAATGGACAAAATTACCAAAGGTTACCGTGCTCAATGTTTGTAAAAGATAATGATCACGAAAAAGCTTGTTTTCCTCGAAATACTTCAACGTGGTTGTTCTATGCACCAATTTTTCCGTGTTTACAATTCCAAGAGATGGAATTTTCGCAAATACCCTATAAACGTTGCTTGATTTCTCCGCCTTTATATCACCTTCTATTTAAGAATAAAAAGCAAGAAAATCGCTGTGTTCGACAGAATGCCATGAAGGAATTTTTAGAAGTTGAGCTTGATAAGGCGTTCAGCGGATTATTAGCAGCCAAACCAAAAGGATTCTATGGTAACACGAACTGCATCGCTTAAAACAACAACGAAGGCAAAGAAGAACAACGACAGCGAGAATAAAGAAGCTGAATTTTTATCCCCTATGGGGCGAATTAAAGCCGCTCCTTGACTGTTTAAGCAGTTCAACTACAGTAAACTTGCATTTTACAGTAAAAAATAAGGGGGGGATTGTTTAAAATTGAAAGCTTCTATCGGAGTGGAAACATGTTTGTTGAAGGCATCTGTGAAACAGTTCATTACTGCAGTGGGGAAGTCAAAGGGAGAATCTGATGAACAAAAACAGAATAACCAGACAGTACGAGGTGAAACTTTACGCCCAGGTTGAACGATCATCTTAGTCATCATCATCGTCATCATTATCCTCATCGTACAGCGACCTAGAGTGAAGTGAATTTCACCGATTGCTGCCAAGCTCACAATGCATGTAAAATAAGAAAAGTGTAATGAGGACAGGGAATAGGCCTGTACACGATCTCACGATGCATAAACCTTTTCAAGCATTCGGACCTGATAAGTAATTGCAACCGAAAAAAACACTGCTGTCGGTTAGTCCCCATGTTCTTCAGCGCATGCTAACCAACCAGTTAGTCTTCGGGACTCCGACCTGGAGGGATGGAGATATGGACTCTGACAAATTGCTCTGCGTACTTCTTCATGTATCATCTCCACGTCATTTGTTGACCTTCAGGCGATTTTCTTCAATCTGGAGCAGTAACAGCGAATAGGGTGCAGTACGGTAGACGACAGCCGGTCACGTGCAAGAGGCGTCTTAGCCAGCAAAGCCTACCAATCTGAATTAGAAGTGATAACGATTCCTTCAACAAATCATTCCGGAATGGACGATGGCTTACCATAGCGTTGCTAACCTGTTAGCTCCACCCAACCTGCGTCAAACAGCGACAGTCGAAGATCTCCAAAGGATGGATGTCTTCCACTTGGTGCATTCTTTAGTATTTCGTTCATGCGGAAGTTCAAAAGGTGGAATGAAACGGGATACCCTTGAGGAACACCGCTACTGGTGACGAGCGATCTGCCTAGCTCATCGTAGACCCTCACTCGAACAGAAGTATGTGCGCACAGTGAACTCTGGGGAAGCAAATCCAAAAGAACTTCACGATCAACTGAGCCGAAGGCTCCTTTTAGGTCAAGGAAAACTGTAATCGTTGGTCGAACATGCCGGTCGACTTGAGGCAACGTTAAGATTTGGGCAATACGACAACGACCAAATAAGTTTTGCCTGCTGTTAGCCTCAGGTGGAGAAATATTACAGCAGCTAGCACTTCGGAGACGATCGGAACTAAACGTAATTCAAGATGGTTTGCGCAGTTATTTGCGTGATTCCTTCTTGGAAATTGGAGCAGTCAAAATTTTGTTCCAGAATTAAGATATTCGCTTTCCTAAACAAAGGGTGCGATCAACTTGTGATACGATCAACGACAGTCACAACCCATCTTGCAAAACGATGGTGGGCCCGGGTGCGTTTCTTTTCCACAGCAATTGAATCCGAAATCGTATTTCTAGTTCTGTAGAGGTGTCGCATGTTATTACTCAGGAAGCTTCAGCTAAAACCGCCGAAATAGCCGCATTAGCACCAAGACAGCCGAAACGTTCTATCCAGCCAACAAAGCGCTGTTTATTATTGTGGAATCCATGTCCATTTTTATTTCAAATGGTTTTGTTCACCGATATGCCGCGAACTTCGGCATCAAAAGAAATGCTGAGTGTTTTTAGCCATTAACTCCAACTGACTAGCTAATTTGGCCCACTAGGTTTTACGATTCTTAAGGTTCTTCCTGAATTATCATCATGTTTCCACAGTGCTCTTGGCCGATCGGGATCTTTCACTTTTGCTCCTTTCGGATATTCCCGACCGGTCGGCAGTGAGGAAACAAGTCTATCAGACAGAGATCGGTTATTGATTTAAACTAACTACGCTTCGGACTTCATCTTCACGCACAATCCTCAGTTTATCAATTCAATCATACACTCGGAAGCACTCGAATTTCACCCTTATTAGAGCTCATCAGTAGTGCATATCCACCGTTCCGTTCAGGCTCAGATGAAATCAATACCAATCATCCCACACCACTACTATAAGTAACTGTGAGTTAAATGAGAGATCGATCAATTGGAGTCTTCCGTTTTACCTTAGGAATCCAAGCATGCGTACCTTTTGTTAAAGGTGTTGTTCAAGCAGAAATCACGGCCTAACTTTGTAAAGATTTAATGTGTTGATGTCCCTTTTAGCCATAAAACGGGTTTCAATTACTAAATCGTTTTCAGTAATCGGTCAGAAACTGCTGTTAATGACTAAATCAATTCAGTTTCAGTTTGTACACCCATTACCCGTGCAATTCTTTGTGCCGGTTTTAGTTGTAGTCGTTTGGCTGACGATTTCAATGAACAGTAGGAGAAAGATAGGAAAGTCGAAAGTATAGTCGAAGGTAGAATGAGAATGTTAGTTGACTAAGGTTGCAAAGAGATTGAGAAATACCTCGGAATTAACTAGACAACCTTTTTGGTCCAGATATCTTGAACTCATCTGCATTAGTGTTGGTGAACTCGTTCTACACTTTCAGACATGAAAACCTTGTTTCTGCACTAAATGGAACCCTCAAATTTGTGACAGCCAGCAATCATCTGTACTATTTACACTGTTCCTTAGTATTTATCACCCGATTAAACGAGGAAACCTCAGAAAGCCTCAGTATGGTCGGGGTGTGTTTTGGGTTGTAGCCTGTCAAAGTTTTCACGAAACGCTCCTATAGGACCAAGCGTCTCAAATAGCCTCTGCTGAGGAAGTCCTACCCACTGCCTTTCCGTGACAGTTTCTAAACCAAAGTGAGTGGATGAAAAGCTAACGTCCGGGACTATAACCGGGTCAGTGAACAACTGCCAACTAGGGGAGTTGTTTCAAATCCCCAATTACAAACCATCAAAAATGTAAGAGATGTAAGGGCCAAACCCTCTATCTCTCACTCCTCCGTGTACTCGTTCTAAATTCAGACTTCTCTCTGCACGCACTGCTACTTACCGAAATAGAATCACACCATGTCGTGCTCGTGTTTTAACAACTGTTATTCTGAGTTTGAAAAAATACATATGACATTAGTGTTTTTTATTGCATTTAATTGTGTTCTTCACTTCTTTCTCGATTAATGTATGTGCTTCTTCAACGTAACATGCCAAAGATACTGAAAATTCACAATTATTATACTTATTAAAGTATACTTATTATATACTTATTAAATATACTTATTAAATTTACTGAGATTTGAACATGCGTATTGTTCCTAATTCCGGCAGAACCCTGGCAACTTCCTCGAAATGTACCATCAATAACGACAAACCCGCTTGACTTCACCAAAGGAGTAAAACCAAAATTTCTGAAGGTCAAGAGTGATTAGTAAATTTTTTTCGATAAATAGCGAGGATAATACAAATTCAATCACAAGATTGNAAGATTGCTCATAATTTTTAATAGTTCATATTCTATAAAAGCAATTGTAAGAACTAACGAAAAGCCGATCACTCAAAGAATACTTCACGGCATTAATTTCACAGATTTATAATGCAACAGCAAACGAAACGTACCCTTTTTACTTTCAGCGAAATGTCTGACAGCACCAAATGACCAGGATCGGACCAGTAGAAACTGGCATTTTGTAAACTGACGGCGTGATCTTCACATCCTGTCATTGAAGGGCTGATGAGAGGAACATCGCCGTCAGAGTGAAGGGATTCGGTTGTCAGATGATGCGGAAAAGGTCCGGGAGGAAGGGAAAGTAACCCAACGAGACGACGGACAGAAACAATTGCCTCGATAACTCCATTGATCACCCACGGAAATGCGTTCATTGGCCCGATAAGCATGCCGAACAGAGAGAGGCAAGTAAATACCTGTCAGCGGGAAAACACGTTGAGTCACAGATGAAAACTCGGACAAGTCACAGGGGTGTTTGCATTGTGTAATGGCAAAAGTAACTGAAATTTCTGAACAATAATAAAAAGAAAAATAAATCAATGATTGAGTTTTCTCATAACCATTTGTCAAAACCTCATCTAACTATACGAATATTTGATGCAATTAGAACGCTGCCTCGCAACGTTGCTCTTAGTTTGAAAATCACAACATATAAACCCTTCGTCTTATTATGAACACATACGCATGCTGAGCCAGTTGACAAACAATGTCATCACATGACAAAAGGTTTGTGCCTTCAAAGACCCAAGCGTCTCTTCCAGAAAAACGTCAGCGTAATCCTGTTTGTGATCTCTCTACTATTTTGAATTAACTTGAAAACGCGAACGAGACTTGAGTTTATTGATTCCCAAGTGTCCAGTTGACTCAATCGACTAAGGATTCAGCATAAAGACAGCCGTCCCAAATCAACATCGCTTATCCCATACAACTATTTATAAGTAAATGTGCAGTAAACGCGAAGCAAATTTAAATGCTTCTTTTATTTGACAGAGATCCCATAGTTCTCTGAATGTTTCGACACCACCGGACTCCACCACCACCAGAGTACAGTGGATGCATAGTAGGAGCAGGGTTATATCACATCGAGGAAAGCTTTTTGCTTATTTGATGAAATCAATGTTTTGTGTTCATAGCGTGAACCGGTGTCACACCCAGGTAATCCTTAAAAAAGTACTAATTAGCTTTACTTTGCTTTCTAAGTTGTCCAATTTCCACGAAGATACACTACTAAACATATTTTAAGCGCACATCGAGTGTAAATGAAAAGTGGCATGATTATGCAGTGACAAGGTACAACTACCAGACCATTTTCGCGTGTGTTCCTTAGAGAACCAGAGTGCAGCGCAAGACAAACCAAGAGAAAACTAGCATCAGGGACTGAGTTAGGATGCAACATTGTTCTGCAATATAACGTGGAAACACGATGGGCGAGTATAGGCAAAACATGAACGAGACATCGGAGGCGGTCTAGAGCGATTAATTTTGTTACAGCACGATTATTTCAGGACGACACAGGACGACGGATTTTGTCATGGCTTACCGCTAGACACAAGCAATACTTCGAAGGCACCGGTGGTGCAAATTCGATTAGAACCCTCAGCTCGCAACCGCAAACCAAAATACTACAAACCGCGGTGATGTACATCTTTCCTTTAAGGATCAGGCGGATGTCTAAGGGTCGCTACAAGTGTGGCAGGTTGGCAAAAGCCCCTCTAGCTTTTACTTTTCGGGATAAGCATGCTTCCCGAATAGCTGGGATCAAGCTCCCGAGATACTTAAAGCTGTCGACTACTTGTAGCTGACCACCACAGAGAGCGAATGAAGGCACAGGATCCTGTTAGTCTTGAACAAGCACTTTGCACTTGGATGGTGTAAAGCACACACCATATCCGCATACCTCCATCGCAATGCGGCCTAAATTATATTGGACTACCTGTGCATTGTCACATAATAAGGCGATGTTATAGGCATATTCTAACTCAAGGACTCTCACTGCCGTGAGGAATTCAATCACATGCTTTGCCAGAACGTACAAAGCATTCTGTTTAACACTATATATGACAGAGATGAAAAGGAATGGGGATATAGGATAACCTTGACGAACTCCACTGGGGACTGTAACGGATGGGGAAAGCTGACAAAAGACCCTAACCCATGACGATACAACTCTTTGAGGATCGATACATACCTCTCGTGTACTCCATTTCTAGAGAAACAGTTTCCTAATACGATGAACTCAAGGCCCGCGTGAATGCCTAAGAACACAAAGATCATTGGCCCGTAATCAGCATGACGGTGCCTTAGCAAGTCAAGTCAAGCCCAACTCAGCTTTATGCACCCGCAAGGTTAACTTTCGACGATTTTCAAGAGAATACATTGGAAATGGGAAAGAACGCAAAGGAGTGTGAAGGGGGTAGACAAAAACGACAGTGCACTATGAGCAAGAAGACGAAAGTAATAGTTTCATAAATAAATAAATATACTAGCTCATGAGATGTTACACTAAACCTGTAATAATTGGTGCTCGGAGGGTGAAGATCGATGCATACACGACCGGCGCGAAACCCTACCTGCTTCTCAAGTGTGTTGTACAATCGGCGGAGAAGTCTTGACGCTGTTGACATGATGCTTATCCTTCTGCGGTCTCAATACTCCAAATCAAACAGTCCGCTGCACGGGAGAAAATCGATGCACTATCCTTGCACTAGGACAGAAATGCTTCAATAATTAAATTCATTACAGAGTTGAATAGAAAAGGAGATAAATGGCAACCCTGAAGAACATCGCTGTTTTTGGTGAACTCGGGAGAAGAGGAGCCATAAGCTCGGAGTCAAAGTCAACTGTTGGTAGAAACAGATCGTAACACTGAAATAAACTTTTCGGACAGACCCTTCAAGGAGCGAAAGCATTAGAGTTTAGAGTTGTTGACTGAGTTGAAGACCGCCTTCAGACTGAGCAAGGCGGAAGTGGTGGGTTTAATAAATATCTATGTTCTGGAAATTGGCAAATATTTGAACTGTCGTCGACTTAGTGAGGTTCTCACGCATGCGCCGCTCAGGTGCGGCAGACAATCGACAGGGCGTACTGCCAACAAAATGCTTAGAGACCATGTTGATTAAAACGAATTATCTACGGTTTTCATAAGATAATTTGTCACCTTTCGTGTAAATCGGTAAGTTGATTGGCACGATTCAATTGAACTTATTCCTTCTCCCCCACTGAAAACAGGAGTTTTGTCAACTCCAAAAGCAAGGCGGAACCTTCATCTTCAAAAACCGAGGTAGATGGTCAGTTCGGGTTGGAGGATTAGTGTCATTTGAGATAACTTACCTACCGGGAAACCCCCATTTCAGGAAGTCTGAAATCAACTAGCAATATCTACCCGACTGAACTGTGCGTTAAAATGTCTTACCAACAGTTGAATGTGAGTCAGTGTGTCGTCAAACTCCTTAATTACCTTACGCTTAATTTCCTTGCGCTCGTATTCCTAATCAGACGGGAAAATTATGACTGTTACCCACAGTCACATCTTTCTCCATTACTCAGAACTTCGCTGTCATCCCTTCCCGCGGTCACTCTTTTGATGAGCTAGTGCTTAGGGAATTTAGGCTCTGGAGGAATGATCTTGTGAGCATCTGGTAAGACATCTGACGTTGAGAAGAATCGCCGTTGATTGACCGTCAGAATCTACCGTTGGTTTGATCGACATTTGGGTATCTTCCAAGATAACAGACTAGTGTTTATTGAGTCTTTCAACAGGTAATTGAACTGAGGGGCAATGGGAGAGCTCTGCTTCGAAGGCCGATTTGCAATCACGGCTTACATTGTGCTGCGGGCATCCATTTATGATGACTTCGTCGCGATTATTTACCAGGCTCATAACAGAGAGTGGCCCGTGACCACGAGTGTTTACTAGTGATAGGAGTATTCCGGAATGGATCACCGCCAGAGGTGGCTGATTTGAGTCCATCGCCGTGAAGAGGTAGGGAGTTTCCATGTTAGATGCTATTTATTGTTTGAGAAATTGGTGCTTGATAGGAAATAACCGTGGGTTGAGCGGGTTTGAAGTAGCCGACCTCTGTTTTCCGTCTGGTCGGCTGGGATTTAACGCGGGCCACCTAGACCACTTTCTGATTTATTCAGGGATCCCAATTGAGCAATGAATTCGCCAGTGATTACCACAATTTCCGTTGAGTAAGCAATTCTCTGTAGTTGAGAAAGGTTCTCCTAGAATTCATCCCACACTTGATGCCACTGAAATCTGTCGATGCATCCACGGACACGATGAATAGTTCAGTTCTTACAACCATTAATCATGCACTTTCGTGCGCCCGTTTTGGTTGCCTATTTGGATAGAATAACAGAATGATGATTAGAGTGTTGAGAACAGATTTAAGCAAAAGGTAGCACGTTTTCACAGACTGAAGTCATAAGAATAATGAGTAGATGCATGATCGCCACTGTTTGCGACACCCAGTCATATCGCTCAGTGTCTCTAACCACCGATGACCATGATTTCTGGGTCCCCAGCCAGCGAGCCTAACGGGACCTATGTGAGCCAGTCCCCTTGTCAGGGTTTTCATACCAACATGCCAGGTCTTAGCTTGACCGCCCTTCATTTTTCCCAACCGCTAGGGCCAGTTGAACTGAGCCTTAAAATGTTCTGCCCACCGATCTAGACCGCGATGCTGAATATGGATCAGTGTGCCGTCGGACCCCTTAATTACCTCACGCCTGCTTTCCTTGGACCTGTACTTCTAACTAATCGGAAAAGATTGTGACTATTACCGATAGCCGCAGCCTTCTCCATCTCTCTACACTTTCTTACCCACCACTTCTCGCGGTCATTCGTCAGACTCTTGATGACCTAGCGTTTAAGGGATACGCGCGCTTTGTCGTAGTTTGAATCCGAAGGAATGGCTTTGCGAGTGTCCAGCAGGGAAACCAAAGACGGGGAGATCCATCGTTTTTTATTTGATCGTGAGTCAGAATTTGCTGTTGTTTC